GAGTTCTCGTTTGAACCCTTCCCTATATATATATATATATATATATATATATATATATATATATATGGAGGTTCAAATGAAAACTCCTGTAATTTACGAGAACGAGAACAACCCAATAACCTCAAACTTTTTTAATTAATAAATTAACTTATATTAAATATAAATAAATTATTAAGGACAATAATGTAATTATAATTTTTATAATTTATATTTTATTTTAATTAATTATAATTATCTTTTTTTTTCCTGGATTTATCACGTTCGTTTCCACTCTCTTCTCTTCCCTTGTGATAATTGTGTGATTGTGTAACCATAACCTATGGAAACCATGATCAATCGAGTGTAACCATAACCTATCGAGACCATGAGTAATCATTGTGATAAATGTGTGATTGTCTAACCCTAACCGTTCGAAACCATGATCAAATCGAGTGTGCTGTTATAATAGTGATATCACACTCATATCACACCAAATCGGTAGTCGATTTCCTAAGTTTACCCTAGCCGAGCGGAATCCTTGTGATAATCGTGTGATAATCACACTCATATCACATCCAAATCACACCAAATCGTGTTGAAATAAGCAATAACCATAATAGCTCATTATGTTATCCAGATTATTGGGTTTAGTGTGATCGTGTTTTTAAAATTTTATCACTTTGAATTCCAATATTACCCTTTTGCCTCTCAATTTTTTTTGAATTGTTTTAATTTCATTTTTAATTTAAAAAATCTTTTAATTTTTATTATTATCACAATATGAGATTAATAGGTTGTTCTCGCGTTTTCACAAATCACAGGGGTTCTCGTTTGAACCCTTCCCTGTATGTATGTATATATATATATATATATATATATATATATATATATCATGGGAACAAGATTTTGGGTGCATTAGTCCTCTAAAATGTTCAAAATCTCACATTTAACATGCTAAGAAACGGTATCTTTTTAACCAAAAGGATGAGGAGGCTTTTTGATAGTAACTGTTAAAAACGTACGAAAATGACATAAGGTTACAACAATCTGCATCATCTTTCACCTTTGAGTGTGCAAAATTTCCAATAAATATCGAATTTTCTTCTTTTTATATAAGGAGGATATGTTGTAACTTGTGTGAGCTTTATAACTAAACTCCAGAAGAATTAAAATGGCCATTTTTCACAGGAATGATTTGAGGTGGAAAATCTGGCAGGTTGACTGGTACGCCTTTTTGGCTGCAGCTACTTCGAACTTCTTGATTGCAACTTCATTCTCTTCGATCCTGTTTTGAACAAAAAACCGAATCCACCAAGTAGAGCTACGCAGTTTGGCCTGTTACAAACGCGAAAGACTACATTAATTATGCAGCACTCGTACTACATTCACGAAAAAGTTAAAGGAGAATGGCATATTAACTGATTGTTTTATATTTTATGGGTCCCATTTCAAATCTTGATAGGAGAATGCTGAATGAAAGAAAATTATATGAACTGTTGGAGTCCCAGAACCCACATCTGTTAGATTTGAACCATTTCTCGTTAGTAATCTAAACGAAAAGAAGAGATCACTATTCCTCCATTATCACTCATTAAGCAACTCCATTGCCAAATTTCTAACCATTACTGAGTTGGCAATGGAGTTGCATAATGAGTAATATAAGATCATCCGTGAAGCTGTTTTGTGAAAATTTCCGTTCGAAGGTAAAGAGTAAAGCAGTGAAGCTACACGACATCATTGAATTTAGGCAAAGAGTAAAGCAGTGAAGCTACACAGGAGTGTAATACTAGTGAGTATCATCATGTATTCAAATCTTGATTGAAGCAGCTGTAAATTATTTAGAGAATAAATAAGAACTCCTCGGAAAAGAGGACTTACAGGGCGACCAAACTTGGACATCTCTGCAACTTTAAATGTCCGCTGCCCCGGATAACCTGCATCCAAAAATGACACTGAAAACATCAAAGATTTGCTTCTATACAATGCCCATTAAGATTTCCCTCGTTAATGCAAGTACACACAAAGTGAAAGTGTGATTGCAAGTCCCATGTACTGCTTTCGTTAACAAAATAAGCGTTCGTAATGAAAAAGACACGGGTATTAAACTGTGTAATTATTACACTTTGTAATCAACTAAATGAAAAAATATACTGTTAATAATAGAGGGAGTAATGAATTTCTCCATCTCATATTTAATGGTAAAATCCGAAAGTAGGCACTTATTCAAAGTGGACCTTTATTTTGGGGGCAAACTAAAAAAGATAGGTGGACCGTTGTTTTTTGGACAGAGGGAGTACTTGATATGAGAAGAAATTAAGATGGACCCACAAAATAGATAACAGAAGAAATGGTATCAATAACTGGAGACCTAATAATTGTAACAAAGTTAGTACACAGACATCTATTTAGGAATTTACCGGAGAGAATAATAAACCCATCTGAAGATACTCTTGCTAATTCTGGAAGTGTCTTGTTGAGATACTTTGGGGACAAGTAATCCAGCGCATCCGACACTATGACAAGGGAAAAAGATTTCGACCTATAAGGAAGAGGAAACTTGATATCAGCTACACGAACAATGCCTTTTCGTATAAGGCTTCTGCAGTTGGCATCACTGTCATCCAAATCATATGGCTCCACACCCCATGCTTCAGTATCCTCTTCTTTTAATAACTGGGAGACCACTGCACAGGTGTCAGGACCTACATGAAGCACCTTGTGCATGCTATCTCCATATGCTTTCTTCAGATATGGTAATGCTTGATAAATTTCCGATGAGCATGAAGCACCGGCTGGATACAAACAAGGAAATTTCAGAATCATTAAAATCATCACAATTTGTGTTAGGTTCTAAACCAGGATTTTCCGAAAATGAAGGTGGGCTTGGAGATATTGGCCTATCACTATTTTGCGTTTGAGCGTCTTCAATATATAAACCAAACCAAAATGGACCCAGTAAATCTCACTTGAAAGTAGGGTCTGGGGAGGGTGACACCTGACCTCTATCTCAAAGAGTAGAGCAGATGTTTCCGTGAAGACCCCAGGTTTGTGGAAGAGTATGAACAAACAGGTAGCAGGAATAAGGATTAGCATATGGTGAATGAAGCATGAGAACACTACGTAAGAATAAGTACTAAGAGGAACGTTGGACAAACGATGTATATTATCTAAACTCTCATATCAAAAGATCATGCCCTTCCTCATCTTTACAACCGAAGATGCTTATAATCAAGTCATGCAGCAGATATTGTCCAAAAGTGAGATGCATATGTGTTCCATTCCAGAAGGCAATGGGAGGAATAAGGGACCGGTGATAGGTATCCCTGAAATTGATATTTGCCTTTTACTTTCTAAAGATACAACAATAAAGAAACATATGTGATTACATTTCAAAGATCATACCCTTCTTGAAACTAATATTTCATCACCACAATTACAATATATTTCAAAATCTAAATCATGCATTCAATAATCTTTTATAAGCTTAAAATTGAGCATGGCTTTTAAGTTCCAGAAGTGCAATATTTATATATCATCAAACTCAAATTCACAGGAGAAGCAAATAACGGGTATTGTACAATGAACTATGAAAGTAAAGTTCCACATGACAAAAAAAGGGGCAGATGGAATGAAGGACCTCATCACTAAAGAAAGAGACGACAAGTTTGGGAAAAATAACACCGAGAAGAAATTAATGTCCATAGTTATAAGTATGAACACCCAAATCATCTATCCAAGACCTAAGAACATATCTCAATTATAAAGGCTACATTTGCAAGATTCACATGATTATACTGTATACAAATTCCGTATCACAATAAAATCAACTCTTTCATGAAACAATGGATATTTCAGTGTCAGCAAAATTGTAATGCAAAACAAATAAAGTTGTTTAGTGTAAAATCTTGAATTGTTTACCTTCAAGCCTACTTAAAGCAGCTTTATCAAAACCGTTTCCTCCTGTCACAAACATAATTTTGGTTGAGTGATAGCATCCACAAGTGTAACAGTCGATACTAAATGTATATCTAGGCTACTGGTGTCAATTTGGTCATCTATGGTTATGACTTATGAATGTTCATGTTGCCAGACATATACTAACCTGAACCACTATAAAGATATCCAATTATCAGAAAAGCTCCCTGAAAGGTTCCACCAGAAAAAAGAAATCCAACCCAGTATATTTAGTAAAATCAAATTATGCTGAATGTAAAAACCACTAACATGGATGAAGATCAGAGCATCAGCAATTCTTGATGCAAAGAAGACATTATGTATGCTGCGGAAGGTGTAGACAGTTTTACCACTAGTACGAGCCCAATGGATAAGAAAGGTGATGGACGTGATTTTGGGTGCAACGATCCCATAAATGGAATGCTAGCTCCATCACCCAATCGTCGAGATAAACCTGTTGGCCTCCTTGACATTGTTATAGTTGTGATTTGCCTGTATAACAAAAGTTCGTCCTCAGTGAACTTAATGGTGGTTAATATTTCAAAACATAAACTCAAACCAACTTGGTCAGCACATACTACCTCCATTCCAAAAGTAGATTTACAGTTTGATTCATAGATTTCATTTTGCAAAGCCCTACACTTCAAGATTCTTAGATATACATTTGGTTTTTCGACAATAAAACTTAAAAAGCACTAAAATTTAACATACCCAATGTTTTCAAAAGTTACTTGATCCCAATCAATTTGGATCTTAGAACCTTGATATTTGTCTCTTGGGAACCAAAGAAACATACAGTACGGCATAATTTTATAAATTCTATATCGGCTTCTTTGTTGATAAATATTCAACAAATTCAAAATGTTTTGTTTAACACCTCTAGTTCCATAATTGAAAATTCCCTGGTGAATGTTATAATTCATCCTAATTATCCAATGCAATTAACTGTAAACTTTTGTTTGCTTTGGTTTTAGCTCCACCATAGCATCGAACCAATCAATTCATACTACCAATAAACATATAAAAACAAAATCTACCAAAACTATTCCTACTAAAAGCAACATTTGACTATCTGATACACCTGGTACTGATATTCTTTCAATAATTTACCGGCTGAGGCTTCAAATGAACAAATCAGCAGTAAATAACCATGTAATATAGACACAGAAAGTGCGTATTAGTGTGTGTGTGTGTGTGTGAGAGAGAGAGAGAAGGGAACGGAGTTACCTGAAATGAGTTGCGGAGAAAGGTTGGAGCTTCGGGATCTTGAGTCGAAACTAGCGGTTCGGATCTGGATCTGTGTTTCTTTCAGTAAATCTGAAAAAGAAGAAAGACTGTGCTTTCATATATATGCTACTTTACTCTTATCTCTCTCTCTCTATCTCTCTCTCTATATATATATCTATCTATATATATATATTCCCTTTCACACACTCGAAATGAAACAGTAACCGTATAAAACCTTTTAATTCTTGTTTGATTTCCCGGGGAAGATAACAGTAAAGTACATGCGCTCGGTGCGCAATTTAGCATTTGTGGTGTTTGGATAGCGTGTTTCGGTTTGAGCTTTTGGGCTGGGCTAACAAGCTTTACAACAAAGTTAGGCCCAAGCCCAATAGTGTGAGGATGGTTTCCTTATATTTCGTGTTAAATATGAAAAAGAACAAAAAAGGAAAAAAAAAGTACATGTTTTGGAATTGTCTTAAAAATGGTATAATTTGTTTGATGTGGATATAGTTTTGATTGTTTGTTTTATCTATACTATATTATAAAACATTTGATAAAAAAATTTAAAAACCATTTTTTATACATGAAGTAATGCACATTACTTAAAATTCAATATTACAAGTAAGTTGTGTGTAAGTACAATTTATTAAAGTTTTATTTTTGAATTCATATAATTAATTGTGGATAAACATAATCAAATACAAGATAAACGTTTCATTTAAATATAAAAAATTATAATATAATTAAGATAATGATTGAGTTTTAACATAATACTTAATTATCATCTTTATAAAAATTATATTATTAAACAAAAACAAATTACTTTATTATTGAATCTAAGTTAAATTATAATAAAAAAATTGAATTAAATAAATTACATAGAAAATGAGAACTTTTAAATAGTTGATTTAATAATAAACTATCAAATTTATATTTCATTCAAAAATAAAAAAAAAATATCGTTTTCTAAAAATCACATAAAACTGTATTATATCAAGAGAGAAAATGAATAAAATGAAACACTAAAAAATCGAGATATATCTCGTTACATTGCGCAAATACCTTCTAGTTAAAATAAATAAGTATATAATTATACTGAATCAATAATCTAATAAAAACTTATAGTCAAATTATGTTAACGAAAAGTCTTGTAAAACGATATATGACTTAATTAATACTGTTATGATTAAAACTTGTCTAGTTCAGTTACTGACGTTAGAAAGTAGCCATGATGACTATCAGCCACGACAACAATCATTGTAACGACGTCGAAAATAGCAATGACAACAAGAAACACACGACGTTGACGACTTCAACCCCCCACCTGAGAGCTTTGTTGAACAAGTTAGACTGGGAGCTTTTAAATCCTCATGGTCTCGGCTAACCAACATCGACGAGTCTAAGCTTGAACCAACATATAAGATACAGTATGAATATATAAGTGTGAAGGACAGAAAACGTATGGGCTTACACATATGTGAACTAAGCTACCTCTTTTTTCTATTTCTATACATACTCCGCACGATGTCATTTTTGTAGGACGTTTTGAATGTCAATCATTTGCTACTAAATGAACGATGATCTACCATCACTCCGGTTTTTTTTTACCCATTTAAGGAGTTTTTTACGTCGTCAATCGTAACGGGTCATTTACTTTTATGCACATTTATTTTATTGTTCATAGCTATAAATATTTTCCTCACAAACAATCATATAATAGTTGGAACTCAAACCGAATATCGTCACTAAAAAAATTCAACCAAAACATTTATCGTCTCTCGTTACATTAAAAATGACAATTTTCTTCTTCCAGATGCTTCAACAAAGTTTATCGTGACAACATTTAATTCATCGACAACACTTTAAAAAAAAGTGAAGTGAAAAATAGTCAAATAAGTAGGGTAAAGAAACTCTTTATAACTGATAGAACTTAAAAATACAGTATTTCATTTAGAGAGAGAGAGAGAGAGAGAGAGAGAGGAGAGAGGAAATAAAGTCGTTCACGCTACACTGTTTTTAACTACAAATCACGTCACACGGAAAAATTTAGTTGTAACATCTTGTTTCTAGTCAGTATTTGTAACTACAGATAACATAAGGCATATATATATATTTGAACAAGGAGTAAAATACAGATTTCGTCCCTCTGTTATATACAAATTATGGATTAGGTCTTCCACATGAAATACATACAAGTATGGTTATTGTGATTTCGATTTTGTTATGGATTGGATCCTTCACTCCGACTCTTTTAAGTTAGTTGTATTAAATATGAGGTATTTTAGTTATTTTACATTTTTTAAATGTATATACATTATTAATTGTTAAACGTTGTACAACTTGTGATATATTATTTATTATTATACTAGTTGTGTATCCGCGAAATGCGGCGAGAGTCGTGAATGTTAACGATTTTGAAGTTTCAACGGTTTTATTAGAGAAGATTTAACGGTGATATAAGTTGCACTTGGTCTTTACATATTAATACAATTTGAATAAATAAGAGTTATGGTTCCAATTACAGTCTATCCATGAAAAAAATTGTACGACAATTTAAAATCCAACATATTTAACCGCTTCCACAAATGTGTTCGATTTACACCTAGAGCAAAGAATTAAGAGATCGAGAGCGAGACCGAGAGTTCTAGAGCAATTGAATGTGAGATGAATGAGAGAACTTTTAATCACTTATGGTGAATATCAATTTGAATCTCACCTTGGGGGATGGAGAGAAGACATAGAGGTATGATAGGGTGAAAGCATGAGTGAAATGTGTCAAAAGTATCTTGGGAACATGAAAAGAAAAGGTAATAATGTGCATTGGTAACTTGTACTATATATTATTTTAATTGTAGATTAAGAGATTTTAAGAGTGAATACATAAAGTAGCAATACTTAATGCATTATGAGTTTTTTAAGACTTTGTGCATAAATGCATAATAGTATTTTGTGCATTAAAAATTGTTTTTAAGACTTTTGATAAATTTGATTTATAAAGTAGTATAAATTATTATTATATATCCAACAAGAGCAATAACAATTTGAAGATCCATAACTCAACTCCAAATTTAAAGGTCGAGAATCCCTAACCCAATGAAGTACGAAGGTTGGCTATCCCCCAAAGCTCCAAATATGAAGATCAATTACGACATATACAGGAAACAAAGGTAACAATGATCCGTCTTCTTATTTGAAGATGTATTCTTCTTATTTTTGGGAAACGACGGCAACCAACTCCAGATTGTTGATGATGGTGGAGACGATGAGTGGTAACTAATATATATGGCATATTAGAAATTAGCTAGCGAGATAAATATGCTATCTAATGTGATAAGGGTGCTAACTGCTGGTAACAACTAATAGTGATATAATAACATAAATCGATCTTGTGATCTGTAAACGAGATTACACAATTCTCTCCTATGATTATGGCTTCCCTTCTTTATCTTTTCCTCTTTTTACGTGCTTTTTCCTTGTATAAAGATTGGCCTGCATTGTTTTCAAAATCATCTTTTACTGTAACAAATTTGTTATGGTATCAAAGCAACTAACGATCCTATACACAATTCTTTATTCTTCTAAACCCTAATCGCCACCATGGCTGGAGACAAACCAGAAGCAAATAAGAATGATGGAGCAACCATCGACCACAACTCCCCATATTACCTACATCCCTCTGATTACCCGAGGCAACTCCACGTTAACGACGTACTCACCGACGGGAATTACATCGATTGGTCCCAAGAGATGTTGAATTTCTTGTTTGCCAAAAACAAGGTCGGGTTCATCGACGGGTCAATCAAGAAACCAGAACTTGCTTCTCCAACCTACATGGCTTGGATGAGGTGTGATGCCATGCTTAAAGGCTGGTTAAACACTGCAATGGAAAAGGAAATAAGAACAAGCGTTAAATATGCGGCCACGGCGCAAGAGATTTGGACAGATCTAAAGGAGCGTTTCGGGAAGATCAATGCGCCTAGGGCGTACGAGCTGAAGCAATCATTAGCCACGATCAAACAGGAAGGTACGTCCGTCTCTGCCTACTACACACGGCTACGTTCCATCTGGGACGAGATCCAATCTGTGCTTCCGGTTCCTATTTGTAGCTGTAACGGTTGTACGTGCGACATCRGAAAGAAACTTAATAACCTTAAAGAAAATGAAAGGCTGTATGAGTTTTTACTTGGCCTAGATAGTGAGTTTGGAACCATACGAACTCAGATCTTGGCCATGCAGCCCGCACCATCCCTTGGTACCGCGTATCATTTGGTGGCCGAAGATGAACAACAAAGGGCAATTACCGGTGAAAGAAGGCCAACCATAGATGCAGCAGCGTTTCAAGCGTTTGTGCCAAAGAAGAAAGACCACAATCCATCACAAAGCAAGTTCACCAAAAGGAACGAAAAACGTAACGACGGCGAACAACTCAAATACTGTGATCTTTGTAAAAAACATGGCCATGTTAAAGAAGGTTGTTTCAAGATAATAGGATACCCGGAATGGTGGCCGGGTAAAGCAAAGCAAGAAAAGCCGAAATCCAAGGCAGCTTGTGTCGAAGGGGAGACGAGCAAGATGCCGGAATTAACGGACGATTAATATCAACAGGTCATGAAGCTTTTTGGTGAGAAACTAAATGCAACTAAAGAACAGGAGCCTCCCATAGCCAACATGGCAGGTAACATTAATCATAAAGGTAAGTGGGTTGTTGATTCGGGTGCCACCGAACACATCATTTGTAATGACACCATGCTCGAAAACAAAACAAAGAAACACTATGAAGCACCGGTTGTGATGCCAAATGGCGATGCTATAGCTGTTAAGGGTAGAGGAGATCTTGTGTTACCCAACGGCCTAAAAATAAAAGACGTGCTTCAAATACCCGATTTTAAATGCAATCTCTTATCCGTTAGTAAACTAACAAAGGATATCAAATGTGCTGTCACTTTCTTTCCTGATTTTTTCATTATGCAGGACTTGAGTTCGAGGACCTTGATTGGAATGGGTGATTGCAAGAACGGTCTATACAGGATGGGGATGACGGGAGAAAAGAGAAAAGCTATGGTAACAACGGTTGATTTATGGCATAATAGATTAGGTCATGCTTCGAATTCCAAACTTATTCATGTTGATTTCCTTAAGAACGCTCGTTTGAACCAAACATTATTTTGTGATTCTTGTGTTAAGGCTAAGTTTACCAGACTGCCG